AAAGATGAACGTCTGGTTTACTCTCTCAACCCATACAGCTTATATCCTTGATCAGCGACCAAAGCCTGCATACTCTGTGATGAGTTATAGAGAGAATTAAGAGAGATATTACATCACAGAACAGAAAAGCTATATATATGTTGACTGAGAGAGTAAACCAGACGTTCATCTTTGCTTCTGAATATCGAAATCCAGGTGAAAGGATTAAATCAATTTACAACAGAGAAACTCAATACCAACAACAGCAGCAAAATTATAATAGAAGTGATCATAATGCTTGGCCAAAATTAATTGCATCTCCATCTAATACAACAACAACAGCAGCATATAAAAATACGAATGAAGCAAACAGAGAATTTGAAAATGAACTACAAGAAATAAAAGAAAAATATGAACAAGAACAAAAAAGAATCGAACAAAAATATAAAAGTTCACATTAATGTAATAAATCAAGCATGGTTAAGAATGCAACAACAAATTCAAACATAACAGCAGATTCTTATAACAATGAATATCGCCATAACTCAAACTCTATGCGCAGCATGTCAAAAAATCAGGGCAGTACGCTGTAACTAGTACATTGAAAAATCAAATGAAAAACAACGATTACGACGATGTTTTGCAACAAATATCAGCACGCCCAATTAAATGAAACGCAAACATCTTATACCAAATATTATTAGAACAATTATCTAACAAACAAAACGGCGCATTAAACAAACCATTAGACTTTTCTTCGTGGCATACCAGAGCTCGATTTTCGCTTTTGTCGCTGAGGAAAACTAAAAGTTTCAGAAACGTTAACATAGGTTTCCTTCATTTCTCGGTTAACTTTTAGTTTTCCTCAGCGACAGAAGCGAAAATCGAGCTCTGGTATGCCACGGAGAAAAGTCTTGGCTACATTTCAAACCCAGCCAGAAATTTTTAACACGTAAAACAGCGGAGAAATCTTGAAATTACGCAATGTTACAACGGCAAAAATTGATTTATACGAAGAAAGAAGAAAAGCAAAGCCGAGGTTTTGGTGCACTTTTGATTAAAATATCGCACAGAGTTCAGCAACGTCTCATTTTGAAGAAAACACTTTTCTCTATACGAACAAGCATTTGAAAAGTTTTGATTAGTCACCATACATGCAGACAATTTTTGTAAAGTGAATAATGATAAATTAGGACCTCCAGTGGCCAATCTTAAAAAATGCATAACTCCAGAAGGAAAGGCCAGAGAGGGCTTAGAGACCTCTCATTTTGTAGACGGCACTTAATTGTATATTGTGGCACATTTAATTCAAAAATCGAAATTCTTAATAGAAGAGAGGGCGAGAAGCATTCTTTAACGAACTCAATTTTCAATTTTGATCCTGGCTAATAGCTGATAAAGAAACCCACTCGGTGGCTACGCCACTACTGTACATGTGTAAACTATAACTATGAGAGATGCGAGTATGCCTTCGGTCTAACGTGTAACTCCTTCACGCATACATGAAGGACTAAGGGTGGCTATATGAAATCTATGCCACGAACGTGAATGTGTACATCAGTTTATTTTAATTGGATTAAGAGGTATACGTGGGAATGCGCTTATGTACACTTAGTCATAATTTCACTTGCAAAATAAAAACTCCTTGAAGATGACATCAGCAAAAGAACATAAGCAGTTAACTAAAAACAAAAGGGTATAAGAAACCAGCAGTAAAATCGTTTTTTCCGAAAAGCTGGCCTTTTTTGTAAACCATACTTCTGCGATAAGGTCATCCCAGCACACGACAACAAGAAATGCATTCGACATATCTTTTCAAGCTCTATCCGAGGAAGTGAATCGCATTGAGATTAACAACTATCTAATGATAGAAAAAACAACTGTTCAACGTGGTTTTCCTCGTTTTTCAGAGTTTGAGTAAGTGTTGCACCACTCCACGGGATTGCATGACGTGGGATGGCATATATTTCGCACGTACTTGACATGGGCTATAACATCATTTTCGCCTCTGAGCTCTATAAAAAGTTGTTTTACAGTATTGAATCAATAAATTGCGGTCTAGTGCTGTATCAGCGCTCAACCAGACAAACAAGCGATGCGAATTTTGAATGATTTACTCGATCCGTTTACTCAAGATCAACAATCAATCCGTTTAACTGATTTAATCAAACGATAGTACCGGTAGGGCAATCTGGATTTAGACAAAAATGTTTACTAAGAACAAGGGTTTTATCCATGTATCAAAACATCAATAATAACCTTTGTGCGAATGTTCCGTCGCTGGCAATCCACATGGACTATAAAAAAGCGTATGATCGTGTCGTGCATGAAATTTTTATTATAAAACTATTTAAATTAAGTATGCCGTTGAATTTATTGAGATTGGTTTGGAGCTGGCTTAGAGGCCGTAAAGCTCGAATTGTTTATGAAAGATATAATGCCGAATTTTTTCTTCTTGGGATAGGTTTGTCACAAGGTAGCTCATTAGCGCCTGTGGTATTTATTATATTTCATATTGCGATCTACCGAATAAATTAGGAGCACATTCAAATCATTTATTCGCAGATAATCTATCGGTGATGATCATACCTCCTTTTAGACCAAAAGTAAGGAAATAGAATCTGCGAAGGAATTGTAAATCACGCAGTCATTCATGAGCAACCTTTTAACTACAATAAAACGGTTTTTCAGATCTTCCATAAACAAGTGGTGAGACTAACGATTTCACTATTTATGGACAGTTTTCGCCACGATCAAAAAATTCCCAAAATCCTACGTAAAGTGAAGTGGTTGTCTAAGTCAAAAGAAGTCTCGATTAAATTGAACAGAAAATGTTTCTTTGCATATTCATTTCCTTTCTTCTCCTGGCTTTTCCCAATTTACCCATTTCTACGGAAAACTCATCTGGCGTCGGTAAATTGTAAATTTCGGGTTGGTATGATACTAGTTTACCGTTGCCCCCTGCTCTCTAAAAAAAATCCGTAGCTTACAGAACGAATATCGGTTTTGGCATTTGCTCCTAATAGAAACCGATATCCGTATCGTACGGTCCTGCATAACCGTTTCGCAGAATACGTTTCAACGTTTTTTCTCTGGTACAAAACCTAAATCCGTTTCTTCACAAGGCAAAAAACGTCGAAGCGTATTCTGCGAAACGGTTATGCAGGACCGTACGATACGGATATCGGTTTCTATTAGGAGCAAATGCCAAAACCGATATTCGTTCTGTAAGCTACGGATTTTTTTTAGAGAGTGCTGAAGCTGACGAGCTTTTTAAATTATGTAGAGATGATGAATTGAAATTTACGCAGCAAAATATCTTAAAGAAAGGCTTGAACGTTGTTACGACTCGGATCCCTGCACCTCCCCAATTCTCGACGATATTTTCTACTGGGATAATTTTAAACCAACTAAATACCAGAACCTAGGTCACTTCTTTTCTTTGAAATTGTCAAGAAGCTCTTAAATAGACATGAATCGGCGCTAATATCATGGATAACTTTTGTGGATGAGGTAACAAAGTAAAATGCGAAAGAAAGAATTATTTATTACCGCTTTTTAATTGGTACGAGTTAAATATATGTGTTGTTTTCTTCTTTTTCGATATTGTTTCTTGTGTATTTTACTGTCTTCCTCGTTATTCTCTTTTCTGTCCTTGTAACAGCCTACCGACTTAACAATAAATGGTCAGTCGAAAAAAAAATACCCATTGTGTGGTGGGGGCGTTAATGGTGATATTCTCACTCAGAATCGAGTGCTGTTCCGAATGAGATAGGTCTCGAAGTTTTGCAACAACGTTCGATGTAATGGTGTAAGTTTATAGTTCGCAACCCATCACACCATCATGATTCTTCAAACTACCCTAAATCTATTTTTCATATTGATCAATAGCATCGATCAACACATACAAGTTCTATAAATATGAAGACGTTCTCCACTCCAGTTATCTAAATGTTTGATTAAATGTATACTGACATATTTGGTTACAATGGATGAAAATTATTTAAAAGATATTTCGAACGAATCAAAAGAATTGGCCTGAATTGGTCTTTTAACCTATCGAAAAATAAAGCAACAACATCAGCAAAGTAATCGTTGTGCAGGGGATGAATCGAATGAGTAGCCGTTACTTATGTAACAGAATTTTATACAGCAATTTAATACCTGCGTAAATAAAGTATTACTATAGTACTACAAAGTAGGATACATTTGTAGCTCATACATACAGATCTGTAGATCGTTTTTACTTTACTATTCAAAACTTAACGATTGATGCATCAAAATCTTGTTCTCCTCTGTCATTGTGATTTTTATCATCTTTATTTCGTTTACGTTCTTTTATTTCCAGAATAAAATAGCCAACCATTGATAATGTCAAATAGATTATTTGTAATATAATCGATATCTTTACACGTATTTCTGCGGCATATAAGTATACAATTAAATAACCAATATTCTGCCATAAAAATTGATTAGAAAACGCTGCTTCATCGTTGTCTGTGAATAACAAGCCGTACATTGCTAAAACAAAGAAAGTTTCCAAAGTTTTCTCTAATCGGTGTATGATCTAAAGAATCACCTGTTAATACTGGTTCAACAATCGCATCTGTAATACCGAATAACGCTGATAATATAAATAATACATAGATTTGTGAAGATTGTGGCTTCCACAGTAGGACGGTTATGTACAGCGAATAAGATATGATTGCACATAGTAGACAAAGTGGAACACGCCCAGTATACTTTTCTATGTATCCACACAATAGACTACAGCTTGTTGCAGTAATACCAAATACAAGCATTATTAAACCTTAATAAACGGTAGATGGTTCTCAACAGAATTTTGCCGTCAAAAGAATTCATTTAATCTCAGCCATCTTTAAACGTATCTCTTCATCAAATATATTTTAGCCCTATGATAGAATATGTTTGAAATTATGGGATTATAGAAACTAGAAATGTTTTATCACTCTCGCTGATGCGATATGATAAATCATGTTTTGAACAATTTTTTTTTCTGGAATTGCCGAATTTCTAATTAGTTTGATAAAAACTGTGAAGTAGGCTTATCGCTAGTTAATAATTTTCAGATACTGAACGAACTCATCCTTTTGTTAAAATACATTTTCGGAAATAGCATTCAATTCTCTACAAACTCAGCGTAGTCTTAATCTTTGCTAACATATTTTGAGCCATGACCATAGAAATTTTCTCGATGTACTATCTTTCTCATGCAAAGTGATGCTTTCTACCAAAAGCGGTTTGTCGTCTTTTTTACAATCAAGGTTTGTAACTGATTCTGACATCAGTTACAAAAATTTATCAAAATCTTAGTCAAGTGTGTTAACCCTTTGGTTACGGGTGACCTATATATAGGCATTGAACTTTTGTAGGTATTGTCTTCAATATAATGTCATTTAGGCTTTATTAAAAGAACTACTGTATCTTTCTCTTATTTTAACAAACTTAT